TTTAAGGCATAATATTTTTTCTAAAATAAGAGCTACATATCTCTAACGTAACTAAGATAAAATATATTATTTAAATAATTTTAAACGATTCTTCGACGATTTCAAAAAAATATTTTTTTTGAAATCGTTGAAGACATAGGTTATTTACACTTTGCTATTTCCTACACCCAAAGGTTGCCTGAAAGAAATCGCTGTTTTATCGATAATGCCGCCTCTCGTACACTTTCATGTCAACGTATTGTTTTTGTCTTCTTTTTGTGTGTACAATATAGAGATTTTTATTATTATTATAGATTCATATACCATTCCTTACATGTTTGTATGAGTTATACAACATGATAATATATAACCTCTGTACATGTTTACCTGACGTTCGACATAGTATTCGACATAGTCTATACATATAATAAAATTGAAACTATGCCAAATCTGTACATTAAATATTTTTTGGAAAAACTTATTGAAATAAATATTATTTTCGATACAGAGGCCGAATCTATAGTTTTTAGAATTTTTGTCTGTCTGTTGTTACCGCATCACAGAAAAACCACTAGAGGAATTTTGATGAAATTTGGTATGGTGATAGCTAGTTATCCGCGTCAACATATAGGATACCTTTTACCGCGGGAAAATATGTCATTTCTGAGAAAAAATACAAAAACTGCAATGTAAGAGTATACTAATATGTAAAACCTAAGAATTTGGTTTTTGGTCATCTGAACGCGGGCGGAGCCGCAGGCAATGTAGTAGTACAGTAAATATAATATTATGTATCAAGAGACTAGCAACTCGCTTCGTTTAGTCCTCAAATTGTAAATAGTAAACCTGTCTTAACATGCATACTAAAGTCTAAAATCTAATCGGATTTCGTATTCGCATGACGCATTTTCACGCTAAGAAGTAAGAATAGAAGAAAGAACAAGAAAGAACTTCCATGCTAAGTGAATAATATATGTACTAAGAAAATTAACAGATATTTCACAAGCTCTAGAATTAAATAATATAAAGACGTTTTAACTAAAAATTAACACAGTGCTTGGAATAAACAAAAAGGAAATTCGCTTTGGGTTCGTGTAACGGAAATATAAACTGTTCCATCAAAAATATAACAGTACAGCAACACAACAAAATGGCGACATAAAAACAATCTCATTTTATTACTCGCAGCGTAAACCTGAAATTTTGTTTTACGCCGCTTAAATTGCATACTAATGTTGTCCTGCGTTGGCTGCTTTATATTTTTTATTCAATATTATCGAACTAATATAATTGTAAATAAAGAAATTTGTATGTGTGTATGTTTGTTGACGACACGTTTGGCTCAGTTTGCAGTGTTAGCGGTCGCGGGTTCGAGTCCCGCTGGGGGCATTCATTTGTGTGATGAGCACGAATGTTTGTACTCCAGTCATAGGTGTTTATATTTATTATATGTATATATTTAAATGTATATATGTGTAGAATGTATCAACTATCTAGTATCTGTAACTCAAGCCTTGTAACTTACCATGGAACTAGATGGTGCTGTGTTAATGTCCCAACATATTTATTAATTTATTTGTTAATTCTTCACGGTGAAACGACTGGGCGAAAAGCACATAAATAAACTATGACCTAGAGTAACACATAGGGTATTGTTATTGGTACCTAGAGACGTACTACAGCAGAGCGAGAGTATTGTTAATACTTATATAAAAACTAAGTGGCTGTCTGTGACTTTAAAAAAGTTATTCTATACTTACATAGTTTATTTATATTATGGTTGGTGCGTGACCTTAGATTCTTCAAAATTGCTTATCACTAGGTACGTTTGTGCCAAATAATATCTGGAATGGCTAAGGTGGTTTTAATTTAACATGGGGTTTTGTTTTGGAAAAATATATCCATGGGATAAAGGAACAGAAAGTAAAACGGCCTAATAGATTTTGCTGGGATGATATGAAAGTAATACTTACTATTTTTCTTGGGCTTTTTTATGAGTTTATAATATACATAGATTCACTTGCGTATGTTTAAAAATTCTCACGACTTTATTTGAAAAACACGTAGGTATATTTTTTCGATTTCCTAAGCCGATTAAAATATAACTCATTTTTATTTTTAGGGAAATAATAAGCTATGTACAAAACATAATAAATAAAATCGCCAAGCCCTTAAAAACTTTATACTGCTATATTCATAAGCTTTAAACCTAAAACATGTACTCTAACCATTTTCAAGTTTTACAAGCTTTGATCTATCATAAAAAACCAATCTTGTTTAAAAAAATCCATTTAAAACTTTTAAACAAACAAACTTACCAACAAAATTTTATATAGCTGAGTTTAAAAACTTTCAAGTGAGGCGTTATAGTAAAAATACATTTTTAAATTTTTCCTGGCTCGGTCCACGGCTAGTTCCCCGTACCGAATTTTAAATGACTAGAATTCGTTGTATATTCCATGTATAACTAGATACGTTAGTGAAAATGAATATAGACAGTTAGTACTGCGGTCAAAATGGCAATTAGGTTTGCAATTTTGCTTTGCTCGTTTTACTCAATTTACGCGAGTGAACTAGAGGTAATGTACATTTGCTTCACATTACGACCTAACTAAATGCTTTTAGCTTTAATTTTGTGAAAATAGTTATATTGGGTGTCCGTTAAAACCGACTACTGTAGACTACTGTAGCTCTTGTAGGCATTTTTTTTTCACTCTAGATAATATTTTTTTAACCCCCGACGCAAAAAAAGGTGTGGCATCGTAGCTCTCAAACGGATGGACCGATTTCGATGCGTTTTTTTTTCATTAGAAAGCTAGCTTAATTGCGGTGGTTCTTAGCTATGTTTGGTTAATATCGGTCCAGCAGTGTAAGAGTATCAGCTCTTTTCCAAAATGATGTATGCATTTTGGCGTATGATTACTCGATTAAGTGCTTCACGCGTGCCAGTGTAATCGTTAAATGACAATTTGCGTAGGGGTTTTTTTCTAATGTGTTGTTTATGTTAATTATATCTACTAATATAAAAATGAGATTGTTTTCTTCTATGTATGTTTTTAGGACGATATTATTTTGAACTATTTTTTTATAGTAGCACCAGCATGTCAGCGTCATCTTTCTTCTGGCAAAGTAAATACGAGTACGTCGATAAAGAATTTACATATGTGTCAATTCAAGGTTCCAAATTTCTATTTAATTCCTTGAGTTGATGTCGCGACTTTTTCATTTATAACGTTAATGTAATAGTATAATATATTGCGTTGTCACAGGTTTGATTCTCGCGAAATGTGCATTAAGTTAAAACGTATTATGTCAATAGATATTTTTTTTTATATAATTAGAATATAGTCTTTGAGGGATATTTGCCCCTAAAACCAGGCTGAAGTTAATAAAATCCCGTATTAAAATTCATTGTAACACCTATTTCCATACAAACTAAAAAGAAAAAATACTTGCGTTCAAGTAGAATGGAAAGACAAAAGTCACGTGACATTTTTCTAACATAATATCGATTCCAACATCCCGCACAAGTGGCTGTCGGCTCTCAGCGTCACTGGCTCCCATTGACTCTTGGAGACGTGCCCCTTTAGACATCACTGTGCCAATCGTTATTTCATATTTGTACTATTGTAACTTTGAACTGTATTTTCTGAAGATATAATGAAATATGACAAAAAACGTTTTCTATTGTATAATATAATAGCGATGCACCCTCGCTTCGCTTCAGATTATGATAGGATATATAGCCTATAGCCATTCTCAGTAAACGGGCTCTAATGCAAAAAGAATTTTTCAAATCGGAATAGTAACTTTCCTATGAGTAGTGCGTTCAAACAAACAAACAAACAAACAAACAAACATGTTACGCAAAGCGAAACCACCGCATAAGCATCGGATCTCACGTACAGACGACGAGACGACGTGCCGGTCGCAGGCGCTAGCGCAAGTGCATGCGCAGCAAGTCACGTGCATACAACTTGCCAAAAACTGTAACTTCCTATGAGAAAAGCAGTAAAGGACATTACGTGATTCTTATCTTTACTCTTGATCTAACATCGATCGACAGTCATTTTAGTAGTAAGAAATTCTAGTTAATAAATTAATTTTAAGTCAATTTGCATCCCCTGGCTGCCTCCAAAACATAACAAACAAACAAAAAAACAAACAAACAAACAAATAAAATCAGCCTCTTTATAATTTGAATATAGATGTAGTCTACATATGCCACTTGAGCTATCGAGTAATAGACGAGTGTTTGTGAAGTGTTTTGGCTTACAATGTTAAACTGTTAAACATTGATGGGATAATTAAAATATTCTTAGGAAATTTAACATGATATCTTACTCAAAAAGGAATATGCGTGATTTTGTTAAAACTTTTTATACAATAGCTTACATCGTTATATAATTGTAAAATAAATATCCAGCTCCAAAAAAAAAATCGATTTCATAATCACTTTACAGTATTTAAACCAACCTTATTGGTAATTTTTTATTCATATAAAACCACCCTTAAAATATTGTCTATTGAATAAAAAAGGAATTGTGAAGATCGTTTCACAAATGATGAAGTTATATGTAGCGTTTGATGCACACAAAAAAAGACAATAAAGCTTTTTGTTGGTAAATAATAAATAACTAAAACCTATTTATCTTACTAATATTACAAATGTGAAAGTTTAGAAGTTAGAATGATTGTTTCTTAATCACGTTATAACGGCTGAACAAACACAAATCTATCCCATGGGAACCGTGCATTTTACCGAGATAAAAGTGACCTATGTGCTATTCCAGACTATAATCTATCTCTGTGCCAAATTTCATCCAGATTTGTTCAGCCGTTCTGGCGTGATTGAGTAACAAACATCCATCCGTGCAAACTTTCACATTTATAATATTGATTTATGGGATAATAATGTTTTAGGAACATTATTTTCTTAAATATAGATATATATACTTAATTTAAATTCTTAAATTAATTTTTCATAGAATCTTTTCCAAGAAAATCGTCGATTAGCCAAAATGATTGTTGAAGCGCTGCAAGATTCCAACTTCAATGACGAACTGCTGTTTGATCTCAAAAAAGAAAACCAAGTATATCTAAACCGCACCATGTCATTAATCATTAAATATATAGTTAAACGGTAAAATACCTACTTTATATGTGATCTTAATATTAAACGATATTTACAAAAAAAAATATAGATCGAAAAATCGCTTAAAAATACTTAAACGGTTTTCTAATTACCATGAATGTCACTGTGACTGGGCCAATTGTACGATATTTTTATAGTGAAATATCAGAACCCCTCGGCTTCTGTCGCGCTATAACTATAGAAAAACTCTAAAAAAGTAGGTTTCATATAAATTTTCATCCCCTATTTTACCCTCTTATTGGATGATTTTCGAATAACGCTAAAACACGTATTTATTTAATTGTATTAAAGAGCATTAATACCAAGTTTCAAATAATTTTGATCCTAAATAATTTTTGGGTTATATTATAACGTGTTTTCCCGTGGGAATAAGATTATCTCTCGCCGTAAAAAGTAGCCTATGTGACTCTCCAGCCCTCCAACTATCTCCACCCAAAAAATCACGCCAATCCGTCTCTCCGTTTCGACGTGAAAGAAAGACAAACTACAAACAAACACACTTTCGCATTTATAATATTAGTATGGAAGAAAGATTGTTTTTAGTACGCTTGTGTTTGCACGCATACTTGTGCACTATAATACCTTCCGCGCAGCTGGCTAGTCTCAGTGAAATTGGCAGCCATGGCCGAAATCGGTTAGAAAATTGTAGTGCACATAATAGTAGATACAGATCGCCAAATCAGATGATTTGGGGAGACCCCCAAACTAAACTCGTTGGATTGAGGAAATTCAAATTATTCTTGTTTTTTATCATCTATACATATAATAAAATTCTAACTTAGTCGAATTTGTACATTAAATATCTATCTGTCTGTCTGTCTGTCTATCTGGGAACGCATCACTAGTAAACCACTAGACAGATTTTTATGAACCAACCAACATATAGGATACTTTGTACTACGGGAAAATTTCTCATCTCTAAGAAATTTATACTAAACGTTAAAACGTAACAATTTCGTTCATAACGTAGTTATGAAATATAAACACAACATTGAAATGAAAGGTAAGGAACTATAGAGTATCAAGAGAACGGTATAGTTCCGCTTCATAATAACGCACAGATCGTATCCAGGGAAGTGGATAATTACCGCTCGCGGCGCACCGACGCCATCAGCCGCCGCGTCTACTCGGCCCTCGTCATGAAACTCATTGACATCGCTAAGGTCAGTCGTTGTTTGAGTCTAGACTCAAATTATGTGTACAAATACGAGTTAGTGAAATCTACTTGTTTCGATTATTACGGAAATCTTAATATTTTTGGATTTATTTGAACAAAATATCTATTTGTATCAACATCACATGTGAGACTATCAATTCAAAGAGGTGTCGCAATTATAACCACTACTTAGCTGGCAATTTTATACATCATAATATATAAAATTCCCGTGTCACAATGTTGGTGCGAGATGAACTGCGAAACTACTTATCCGATCTTAACGGGTTTTTTTTCAAAATGTATTATATGTTCCAACTTAAAAGATAGGGTAGTTTTTATCCCAATTATTTCCTTTTTTTACTGCACAATTATTGATTTTCATATGTGTACCACAGCAAAGTGAAGCCGGGTCTGCGCCTTGGTCTTGGCCTGTTATCCAAATTACAGTACCCGTAAAAGTTACTTCAGAGAAAAAAAAATCAAATTCATTCATTATTTATAACTTAATATTATTAGCAATTTAAAAGTTAATGTGTAGTCGAATGTTTCTCTACATAAAAGTTAAATTTAGGATCTACCTCGCAACACAAGCGCTTCGAGCCGCATTGACACCGCCCACCGCTACTACATGTCCGTAGAGAGCAAGGACATGCACGATCAAATGGCTGACATACAAGTGTTTCATGCATGTGCTAGACTGTATGATATAATGTTCACAGTAAGCATATTCGTTATAACAAAAAAGGAAATTACACATATACTTAATCTATACTAATATTATAAAGAGGTTGTTTGTTAGTCTGTTTGTGTGAACGCTCTAATCTCTGGAAGTACTAATCCAATTTGAAACATTATATTTGCATTAGATAGCCCATTTATTGAGGAAGGCTATATACTCGTACCATCATGCTACCACCCAAGGCAGCGGAGCAGTAATATAATATATCAAAAACTTAGTATAAACTATACTAAGTCTATGTAATATTTAGTCTATCTATTCCATACTAATCGTTAAAACGTACCTAGGGGCTAGGGACGAACCCGAGCGAAGCGAGATGAGCCGCTAGTTACTATATATTCAAAACAAATGTACACTTAATCATTACTGTACAAGTCATGTCCAAGTGGAATAGTAGCAAGAATACTAGCTAACATAATCCATTATACTGGCATCCTATCTTATCTGGAAAGATTTTTCATTGAAACCCAAATTTATTACAATTCACTAAATTCTAAGAGGATTGTAATATTTCTAATGATTGAAAAGGAGCTTTTTGTGGATATGCTACGCAATATCTTGGTCCATTTAATTCATTTTCATAATTCTTTTTTAATAAATAGATTATAAGCCAAGTACAATTCTACCCTGAATAATGTACATTTGTATATTGGAAATAAAATGCAAAAAAAATCTACATCCAAGTATGGGGTAATTATTTTTTAGTGTTTTTTAGAGTCGGTGATTCTTTTTTAATTAAAAAATAATTATCATTAAGTCTTTTATTTTAATCATACTATCTTCAACCAATGTTATTAAACACTAGCTTCGCTTCGCTCGAGTGTGTTCCTAGATCCTAATCTAGGTCTGTCTACTAATTTCATACAAATCTGTCCAGCCATTAACAACAATATATTCTGTACATACATACAAACTTTTACAAAGAGTTATTTATTTATTATTAAAAATATTTTTATCAGGCCCCAAGAATTATCGGAGAACTGGGTAACCTAGACGATTTAACGCCGAAGATACTAGTGAAGAAACTTAATGATTTGAATGTGAAACCCGTTCATCTTGGAGTAGCTTTGCTGATTCAAGTAATATTTTAAATATCACTACTACTAGCCTTTGCAAACGGCTTCGCTCGTGTAAATGGAGAAAGCGAAAATATTCTCCGTACTCAAATACATATACTGGTGGAAACGTTGATGGCTAGATTGGCGACCGATTAAACGTAGCCGAATTTGATGTCCTGCAATGTAATAGTGAAGCAAATTCAGATACAGTAAACTGAATGCCATAAAAATCTTTTCCATGTAAAAATGCTGGAATGTGTCAAAATTTTAAAGTAACCGGTGAAAGCCTTTTAGAGTATTGCAGTTTTACAAAAATGAGCATTTTGTTATATATACTATGTACATTTTTATCCATGCACAATGTCAGAAACGAACATTCGTGCATCTATTTATAGACAAAACACAAACTTAAGGAACTTCACAATTTTAAGGCATTATATCTTTATGTAATCGAGTAACTAAAAAGAGAAAACTAAAGTTTGACATTTCAATAAATTTATAAATCTGTGTATTGCGTTAAATGGTGCGCGATTACCAATCTAATTCTACTTCATACTAAAATATTTATTTTTTTTCTTTTAGTATTATCTCCGCAGCACAATCAACTTTGCTATCCGGGCCAAAATTGTAGATGTGCTATCCACTAAACCAGAAATGGTAGGGCTACAAGTCATCGAAACGTTAAAGATGCTCGCTTCCTTACTCCTACCAATCGCTGAGCTGTTAGACATACATCTATCACATTCTAGCCCCGCTTTCAAAGACACCTGCCCGTCTACTTGGCTTGGTATTGTTAATAATAAACAACCTTGAAAATAAATGCTTTTTTATATACTAGCAACCTTCTGTCACTTTGCTTCTCTTTTCTTAGCATTTAATTAGCTGATTTAAGTATTCAGAGCTATCAGTGCATCGACTTGATAGTCTGGAATAAAAAGTATCTTAAGTCATTGATAAAGGGCTTTACTATGAAAGAATATTTCATCACAATTGGTTGAATCGTTGAGGTGTCTTGAAATCTATACATATAATAAAAGAGTAATCGCTGTCTATACATGGAAGATATTTGAGAAAAACTATCATTAGGAGTCTTTATTTACGCAATATAACCCAAAACAATGATTTTTAGAATTTTTGTCTGTTTGCCTGTTTGTCTGTACGTTTGTGCGCGCTAATCTCAGAAACGGCTGAACCGATTTGGATACGATTGTCACTAGTATACTGTGGTAATCTTTACATAACATTTAGTATTTGTTTTATTTAAATTGGTTCATAAATAAAAAAGTTACGTCAATTTGATGAATCACCTAGGGACGAACCCGAGCGGAGCGAGGGTGAGTCGCGAGTAAGTTAATATAATATTTTAGCCATTTAGACATCCCACTGCTAGGCACATGCTTTTTCTCGAGGGTCCTAGTCTACCATACTAGCCCAGCGCGTATTGGTGGACTTCCCACTTAAAACCTTTCTCCCCTTAAAACGTAACAGACAGACAAACAGCTACTATCGCATTTATAATATTAAATAATAGTATGAATATTAGTATAAAATATGTGGATTATACTTTACTGGGGGTCTTTTCATCCCTTAAATAGGAATACTTAAGAACCAAAATATATGAGAGAGAACAAGCAGCCTTAAATGCGGTCAGAAATCCTCATTTTCATTTTAAAACACTTTAGCTTTTACAATTTATACGACTGTGAATGGTTTAAGAGTTTTGTGAGGGTCTTTAAATAATATATTTCAGAGCCGAGGTAGGATATGTAATATGCAAATTCGATATTCTTCATGTTTGGCTAGCGCCCAGCTTAATGCTACCGACTTGAAACAGCCTTTGAGGACTCCACTTTGCTCCGCAATTACCTAGTATTGACCTGTCAGCTTTGATTTGAAGGACTCGACGCTAAAAGCATGCTTATTTTCTACCTGTAATTTAAAATTCATTCAGGAATATCTAGGTATTCTAATTAATTATAGCAAACATGTCGTGTTTAAAACATTGATAAAAAATGTGTTATATCGCAGATAAAATACTTACCAATTCATTGAGTTTAATTAGGAAAAAACAAACACGTTACTCAATCCTAAATACATATAATGTTAGAGTATATTTTAATTTAAAATATTAACTAATAAGTCCTATAAAACGAGAACAAAAAATATCGAAAATCCCAATCTCTAAATATTATATGTACATAAAATATTAAGTCCGTCTTTCTGTTTGTATTCCCTTATTTCTAGAATTCCTTTAAAGAATTTTAGAGCAGTTACAAAATTCTAAGTTATTTTTTAAAGGTTAGTAATTTTGCGGTGTAAGGGAAAGAATTTCATAAATCTTCTGGCATTAATGCAGTAGATTAAAGTGAATCGAAAGGCTCGCTAGTACATAATAAAAAAATGGGTCAATCATTTTAAATTTTAGGTTATATGGCAATAAGTACGTACTATATTATATGCAGTTTTGATTTTAGTAAAGATTGTAATTTTTTTGAATTCATAAAGATATATAATAGGGTAAAAAAGTTTAAGCATCTTTCTTTCATGGTACATTTTTAAATTTATTTATACATAAATTTATCTTAATATTACTAATAGAGTAATAGTAAAAAAGTATTATAATAAAATGTTTATTTGTTTATTCAACAATGATACTCAAAAAGTACATATATGCAGCCGTATTTCACCACATGCGTATACGCATAAGTTTTTATTAGACCGCCCAGATTTATTGCCTATAAACTACAAATTGCTGTTACGCTTAATGTTAATATTTGAACGGCCACAAAACTGGCGAATTCAATTTTATATATTGCTTAGTTGTTCCTATTTTGCATAGACATCAAATAATAAAATTCTAATTGAGTCGAATCTGTGCATTAAATATTTTTTGGAAAATCTTTTTTGGAATAGTCATTATTATCGATACAGAGGCCGAATCTATAGTTTTTAGAATTTTGTTCTGTCTTTCTGTGACCGCATCACGAAAAAATCACTGGACAGATTTTGATGAAATTTGGTGTGATGATAGCTGGTTATAAGAGTCAACATATATGATACTTTTTACTACAGGAAAATATCTCATTTCTGAGAAATCTATACTAAACGTTAAAACGTAACTAGGGATGAACCCGGGCGGAGCAAGGGTGAGTCGCTAGGTATTTATAAAATATGTAAAATAACAAAATTTCAATATTCGGTTAAAAGATTCTACAACTAAAAAGGATATAAACTAATGTTTTTTATGCCACTAGGGACAACCATCATGGGTTTCTCATCGCCCAACCAACCGTCATAAAGTCCAAAGCGGTACACTATCATCGGTAGAAGGATAGGGTAGAATCGTTTGCGAATACAAATCAGCGACACCTATTTGTTTATCTTCCAAAGGAGTTCCCTTTAGGGGATTAATTTTTAAAAAATCCTTTCTTATTAAATTATCTTTCTTAGTGCTCACCTGCGTTTTATAGGAATTAATTAAAAAAATATGCTTCTACGCCCACTCAACCTAACTGACATAAAATTCAATTTCCAATCGCTACCAAAGTTTATAGGACCCGGTGGGCTAATCTGAAGATTGCTTAAAAACCTTATCAAAATTGCTCCAATCGTTTCGGAGTCCATATCGAACATACATACACACATCGCACTAGCATTGCTCGCAGCTCCGCCCGCGTTCAGATGACCAAAAACCAAATTCTTAGGTTTTACAGTTAATATACTCATACATTGCAGTTTTTGCACTTTTTCTCAGAAGTGAGATATTTTCCCACGGTAAAAAGTATCCTATATGTTGACCCAGATAACCAGCTATCATTATACTAAATTTAATCAAAATTCCTCTAGTGGCTTTTCTGTGATGCGGTAATTTATTTCAATACGATTTTCCAAAAAATATTTAATGTACAGATTCGGCTTAGTTACAATTTTATTATATGTATGGATAATGTGTAGGTACTGTTGAGAACTCCATCTCTAGTGGCTCCATCCATACAATTATAATACTCAAAGATGCGCATACGCAATACCTAGCAAGATTTATGATAACGGTTATGCGCCGGATATTTTTATCCAAAGTACTATTTGTATTTTGTTCCAACATAAAAAACTTATGTGGACTGTAATTTAATAAAAGAGATATGATAATTAATAGACATTAGACAATATTATCATATTATGATTTTTGATGTACGTTGAATATAATACATTGTATATAAACAAATCTAATCCACGGAAACCGTATTTTTTTCCAGGATAAAAGTAACCTACGTATTATTCTGATGCATGATCAATATTATTGCAAAGTTTCATCAAAATCCATTCAGTAGTTTTTGCGTGAAAGAGTAACAAACATACATCCATACACACATTCTAACAAACTTTCGCGTTTATAATATTAGTAGGATGTTCCAAAATTAATATTATAAGCTAGATACCTAAACGTAATACGTTGAAGTATTAAACAAAATATATTAAAACATTTTTGAACACTTAACACACAGTCATTATTCTAAGTAATATAATAGCGATATTTCCTATTGATTTAAATAAAGATGAAATATTTTTTTTATAATCTTTATTTCTTCTGAATTAAGTCGATATCAGTATTTTTCATGTAATTTCTGTTTTATTGAGAAAATAATTATCATACGGTGCAAAAATAGTAGGAAAATTCAAAGTAGTTGAAACGCAATGCTATTGATCAGACCGAATGTGACGCAAAGTCTATAATAGAGCGGTGTTGTTTGATGTTTGTGATTGTTACTAACAATCTAGACCTGTTCATTCATTTATTGCAATGTTATCATAGACTATGACGTCACGCTAAATGGTCCAAAATGGCGGGCGTTTAAAGTATCCGTATCTGTATGATATTTTAAGTTTTTTAATAATAAAATTTAGTTTTTTGGAGCTGAATATTTTTTACAATTATTTACGAATTTACTTTACGGTGTAAGCTATTGTATAAAAAATTAAAAAAAAACAGGCATATTCCCTATTCAATTAGACACACGTATCTCCATCTAGAGAGCAGTTAAAAATAAATGAAGTCCAATCGATTTTCCATTAGGTTCATTAGGCGGTGAGCAGCTCGCTGATTCAGATACTATGGATCCTTAATTTTCATACTTTAAAATCAGTTAAGTGTAATTTATGTTAACAAAACCACTGAAAATGAACGTTTAATGTACAAGCCTATGTGGGTCTTTTGTTAAATAATCCATTACGACCAAAATTCTCGATCTGGTCGAATCAGTTTAAACAGTTAATAATCGGAAATGGTCCCACTATATTAGTTTTAATATTGCCCAAAGATGGTGGCGGCTTTGGTTTGACTGTAGCATTGTGTCAACTTAAAAAAAATTATGACCCAGTTACAAGTAAGTGAAATAATTTTAGTACTGGTTCTAATAAAAATTTCTGCAGATGAGCAAGATTTCTATAGCAAAGACAGCTCGATAATTCATCATATAATTAATACGCTTAGTAAAAATAATCGGAAATCACAGAATAATTAGAGGAAGCTATTATTATAATACGTTTCTTTCTTCTTCATAAAGTTCCACGTAATATTAACAATGGAATGTCTAATGAATGAGTTATTGGGATCGTTTTCAGCACTTTTCTATCTATCTAGTACGTAAGTAATATTACGTATATACTAGGGAATATGGAAATGATTGTTTCTCTGTCAAAAGTAATAACTGATAATATAAGTTGCTAGGTACGTTTTAACGGTTAATATAGATTTTTATAGGTGAGATATTTTACCGCAGTAAAAAGTATCGTATATGTTGGCCCGGATAAAC